GTTGGACCATATTCATTCAAAATCAAGTTAAAAAAAACTTTCAACTCACTTTACAACATGTCTTGGAAAAATTAATTATCCTTTCAAGTCCTACATTTCTTCTCAGGCCAAGAGTCAGTGACCTCTTTTGCTTACCTTAAAATGTCATCATATTTTATGATTTTACTCTTTATCTTCTGTTTTCTCTGGGACAAAATGTTTTAAGATCAGGACAATATCTGTTAGAAGTAATCATTCTTGTTGCTGTTTATCAAACATCATTCTCTCTTCGGCCCAGTTTTGTCTGTTTGGATAACATGCTGTATAAATGAGTGTATTTGAAACTGCCTCAGTGCACACATTTTGTACCACTGCCTGTGTGACATGATGTGTGTCTTGCAAATGCAATAAACCCTCACTGTAAAAAATGAAATGTTGGATTTACTCAACCATGTTATGTGACCTGGTTCCACTTAACTGAGTTGAGTAAATTCAAAGCAATATACCAGTTTTTTAACCAAAGAACATGAGTATGTTGCTTTGAATTTACTCAACTCAGTTAAGTGGAACCAGGTCACATAACATGGTTAAGTAAATCCAACATTTCATTTTTAGAGTGCTGTTGACCATTCACGGAGTACTTTTTATTCTTGGATCTTTTTTTCTGTCTAGGTAAAATAAAGATTTCCACGACAATCGGCGTCACGAACATTTTCCATGCTGGAGCACCACGGGCCGAGACCAGAGGATCTCCCTCTGATAAGTGAGTGAATRAGGAGCTGATGGTCTGGACTCGGACTGTGGCTCCACGCTGGAAAAAATAACCTTTTTGCTGAGCAGCAACACGGTGAGCTAAACTTTATTGTATTAATACCAAAATTAATTTGGCACACTGCATTAGAAATTCAAATTTTTATTTCCATGCCTTCTGCCTCTAGTGGCTTGGGTTTCAGGTCACGGTAGGCCCGTACACGAGGACTGTGCGACGGTCTGGGATAAATTAAACTCACGAAAGGGGTTTATTTTTTCGGGGACTTTGGCCTAACCCACTGAGTCTCTGGGATCGCCTGGCTCAAAGGGCGAGAGCTTTGTGTTAGTTCTGTCCAGAGTATTGAGAGGACGGCCGTCCGGCAACTTTGTGAAAGTTGTTTATTTCCATTGTTAGACACGTCAGGGAAATACGGGGCAGACTGAAAGGGTTAATAAGCCACAGAAAGTGTGTGCATAGAGACGATGTGTTAAACAATATGGGCCTGAAGCCTAATCTTGGCCTCCGTGAGTGGTCTATCTTTTGTCTCCCCTGGGGTAATTGTCTTAATCAAATCTAACAAATTCAGGTAAATGTTGATCCACTGTTGTTTGCTTTTGTGCTGAGTAGCTGAAACTAACTGTGCATGTGTGTGTGTGGAGCTGATTGTATGACGTATCTGACAAGTTTGTGTGTGTGTGTGTGTGTGTTCTCACCTAGCAGGAAAGTTCAGCAACTGTTTTAAAGTGATCTAAATTGTGCTTTATAAACTTTTAAAATGATCGTTTTAGTGGAAATAGAACACATTAACAAGAGTCTTATCAGAAATGAGCAATACTGATAACTAACAGTTCATTCTTCATATACATTTTTGTTAAGTTGTCCTGTACAATGTGTGTGTTGAAAATATTGGGGCGTGTGTGTGTGCCCACAGTACTGTTTGTTTGTTTGTTTGTTTTTGTCCTGTTCATATCATGGAGTGTGTCATGACACTGAATTTTACAAGGTGTGTGTAATTGATAATATGAGAATTTTAACAAGGACACTGACTTCTCTGACTGACTTCGACTTTAAGCCTGTTTTTATTTTTTGTCATTATTTTGGGTCTACATTTACATGGACAGTTGACTGTGTTTTAGTTGAGAGTTGAGTTTCTGTTAAACGTGTTTTTTTGTATTCTGTGACTCAGTTAAAGCTGGGATATCTTATCAGCTGAGTGGGTCTTGTTGGTTGTATGTACAGGTTTTCATTATTTTTATTCTCGCCTAAAACTTTAGCATTTTTTTCTTTCAACTGTTCCAATCCTTATGATTTTTATTTTTCATATATTTGGGATAAACTATTCACAGTAGGAGAACATCTTGTTCTGATTAGACATGTTTGTCCAATCTTATCTGATTTTTTTTTTTGCCCTTCATGTGCTGCTGTGGTTCACCTTGGCCCCAATGATTTTCTTATAACTGATTTTAAGAAACTTTTTATTTTTTATTTTCTGGTCTTAGATCAGCCATTTGGAGACTGTAGTTTTAGTGATTGTTGTTTCATTATATTATTTTGGTTATTATTTTTATCAGATGTAGTGACTGTATTTTGAAACATCATTCTGCTAATGAGTCCTTTCAGACATGAAG